AAAATTTATACATTATTTTGTTGGTTTGTTTTGATATTCTGTGACATGTGTAGCTACTATGTAAACTGAATGGAATGATTGATAAGCAATTATTTTTTATTGATATGGAATGCATAGCTATTCAAATTTACCACCAAGAGCTGAGTTACATCGTTTTTAATTATTTGTTGCCATGCTTGCAATCATGCCATTCCATGAATTCGTTTCGCTCTGCTTTATACAAATATTCGTGTAGATTTAAGGAATCTAGTCTATTGGGTATGCCAGGGGCGTCAACGATAGTTGGAAACGTGTCATAATTTGCATATCGGACGAAGCCCGTTATGCATAAATTATCCCACGATACCAACTGTCGTTGATGTCCCTGGCATACCCAACAAACTAGACAGTGATTCCTTATATCTACATTTTTATGTGAAATGAAATTGTACATAAAACTTTTTAAAACTGCTGTTTACACGAGGCTTGTTACATGTTAATTTCAGTAGTCCCCGCCCACTGACAGACACACATACAGCCTCACGATATTGACATGCATATTCGGCTCCTGGCCTTTCAATTGGCGAAATTTACACTCAGGGGTAGTTAACAAGAATTCAACTCACCTAAATTTCAAAGAGCTATCCAAGAAAAAGATTAGAAATTGAAATATATACATATATATATGGGTATATAGCGGAACGGTACGAGACACAGCGAAGTGAAGTTGTGATGCTGAAGAAATGATTTTTAAAAAGACCTTTCGCAGTTTATCAACACAGTTTCACATTATATATTTAATCGGCATTTTATTTTACGGCCCTCTACTCATCACTTAATTTAGCTTTTAATTGTTTTAAGTGAAAATTGAATCCTTAATAATCGATTTATTATATGATTGATTAATTCATAGCTCTTTCATTCGTTGAGATCTAATATTGGAGAAAAAAAATACTGGAAAGTTATTTCACTTGCACCTGATTTCAATCAGGTGAAAATTATATTCAGGAACATAGAACTGAAGGGGATGAGGTTGGGGGGGGGGGCTGCCCCCTCTTGCACTTTTTTCTGAACGTAAATGTTACTTTTAATTTGGTATGGAAATGTTCATTGTAAAGCTCCCCCCTCCGCGTTTATAGACCCTAATATTCCCTCCACCAAAGTTTGAAAAATTCTCCTCGTTTTGGTGGAGGGGGGATAATTCAATTCTTTTATAGTTTCAAAATCGATCCATTTTAATTATTTTTCTTCATCTGGCAAGTAATTCGATTTTTAAACTTCCATATTAATAAAACTGGTTATCTTTATTTAACTTCGCTTCTCTCAACATGTTTGGCTAGGACTTTAGCAAATGTGAAGAAGAAAGATGGCATGGAATGCTTTTCGAGTTTGTATCATTAAATCTTTGGATCATAAAACAAAAAATCACATCCATTGCTGTTTTCTCGGTCAATATGATTGTCTCCGGTCTCGGTGAATATGTACTCCTACTCCTCAGATGGCTTAATCATCGTATTGGCGTCTTGAAAACAGCAATACTTGGATAATATTATATGGGAGTAACATTTTATATTAAGTTTTTACATCCTTCAAGGTCCCACTAAACTGGCTTCATCCCTTTCTTTTCCCTTTCGAGTCATTTATATTTATTATAACAGAACTACTTTTTAAAGAAATCCATCAATTAAATGATTCTATTAAGCTCACTTGAGCATTGACTGGGGTTGAAATTTTAATGTAGGAATACAAACTACATGTAGGTAAAAATATTTTTGTCGGGAACAATAGAGCAATAATTTATCATTTTTTGCAAATGTACTCTGACAGTTCAAATGGTTTCAAATCATGACCAATGTTAGATAGATATAAATAGGAAGTTAAAGAAATCTTGTCAAGAGAACAGAACCATACTTAATTTCATTAAAGTAAAACAGTCGTGTGGAATCAAGTTTTGTTTTTTTACTTTAGACCCTTAAATTAGATTAAATTTTAAGTTGTGTGAAATAATCGATAGAAAATTCTGCTCCAGGAAAGCAAGACCATGTAAATGAATTTAATGATGAAGTATCCTCAGGTTGTGTAGAATTCAGGATCTCTTGGAACTAGGCTATCGCTACGATATGGGATCAACATTTTTCGTGGGATAAAGAAATTTTTTCCTGATTTTCTGAAGAGTGACTCAGGTAAGCATTATGCCTTCTTCTATAATTTTAAACACATTTTTAACAATGTCAGTGCCCTTGGTAACACAAAGGTAATGTGAAGATAAATTTTAATCATATTGCTGATTTACACTTTTCAATCAACATTCGACTTAACGATAGACTGTAAAGAAGGCCATTGTATCGACCGTAGAATTTACGGAATGTTAACTTTAAACGTGAGATTATTGATATAATTGTATCATTACCTTATTTGCCAGTAGCCTGTCTTTTGGTAGACATTATTCTTACGTAAAATATTCTCTTGCGTATTGAATCAACTGGGAGACAAAAACCCCATATGCATGTGATAATAGTATGTTGCAATAAAAAAAAGGAAAGTTGACGATAGAGATGATGAACTCATCCCATTTATCATAAGATTTAACTGATACTTTGCCATTAATGTCTTTTTTTCTAGTACAACTATACTAAAGATAACGAATTAATCTCTATGTATGGACCTTAAATAATTTTTTTTCAAACGGACAGCCGCTTCCCAACATAAAAGTTGTCGTTTTTGTCGATACATAGTGACCAGAGCATTTTCATGCCTGAATAGTGAATGTAGTGACGAAAATCACTATTCTTGTCGAACATGAGAATGGTGTTATTCGTCATGTCTGCCGTTATGACATTATATTTTGAATCACAACAGATACCGTATAAATTAAAGTGAGTATAACTGATTAGCCCTAGAGTTGGAATCGGAGAAAATTAATTCTAAAGTATATGTGACGAACTCTCTATACCTACACCAGAGACACAGATATCTCCATTCCCGCTCTATATGGTGCAGGTCAGACAAGTTAAATATTGCTGCTTTATCTGATATTTTATATCAAGGATTAGTTTCAAAAACTTATCAAGAGACATTTCGTAGGCTATATAGTATTGAAGTTCTAGAGACAAACCAAATTGGCGTTTAATTAGCTTATTGGTATACCAATTGTCGTAAATCAATTTTCTATTTTCTTCACCTATATACTAGTATTGCTGTCTTTGGATTGGATAAAATGTCTTAAACGTAGCATGAACTGCATGTAAGGCCATAAACTCATACTGATACATTTGATACTAAATGAACAGAACTACATTAATTTATTAAGTGGGTTTTCAGTGATCGTGAAATCGATGGTGAGGTAACAATAGTTGGTAAATGCAAAATATGATCCTGAATTACATGTAGGTACGTATCTTTTACGCTCGTGCGTTATGATGAAATTTGAACCGTTTCCTTCTGAGGATACAACCGAGTCATTTTTTAGGAACGCTATCTCAGATATGTATTTTCTTTGATCACATTCATTGTTTTCATAATATGAAGTTTCACTACAGTCGTGATTTGAGCTTGTAATGTCGTTTGACCTGTAATTGTAATAATAAGCGGTGAAAAATATACACTAAGTAAGAAGTGGAAGGTAATTTTGTTCTGACAAATGTAGGATTTCCATGACGTTTGATCTTAAATATCAAAATTTTATCCAAACATGTATGCTGAGTTGTTAGAGAGAGAGAGAGAGATCAATGCCAATATCCCCGCCATTTTTACATCGAAAGTATCGAGCTACTGATAGATGACTAAGGATTCTCACACCAGCATAAGGTTTTTTTTTTTTTTTGGACTGCCAGTATAACATTTGAAATTTTAGATTCAGTAAAAAAAATATATAGGGAACATTTCTAACGATATATCAATGGTAACTGTTATTGTGAATCTCGTGACATCAATACCATAGTATTGGATTTTTGCGAGAAGCGCTGACTTATACAATCGACGGCTTACTTTCACACTAGGGCATTATATGAAAGCTTTTATTGCGATAAAAATATTAAGCTTAACAGTTAATTAAACGATAGTAATGGGCCATTTCAAAGTACATATTACGTTGTCTAGGAAGGAAACGGCAACCCACATTGACTCACTTTTGCTTAGTTTTCCTTCCGGAATGTTTTTTTCTTCCTTATGCGAGTCCCTCAGAAAATGTGATTGAAAGGAGGTACTAACCCTCACGAAAAAGGTTATTTAAGCTAAGTATTTCTGCCTCCCATCATTTCTTGCATTGACTGCATACCAGTTAATCATGTAAGTGCCCAAAACAAAATACCTATAACTACTTTAAAGATTTTCTATTATCAATTCCGTGCCTCCGTACATAAGACAGGTTTAAATGTCACAGTAAGCCGTCAACTGTTAAAGTCAGTGCTTCTCGCAAAAGTCTATTAGTGAGTGTGCCACATTTATCATAAGTTAGCCGATCCACTTCGACTGAATTCTTCACACTGATGCTGATAGCGTCTTGTATGCTCGATTGTGTCGATTGCTTCCATGTATCAGTTCACAGATGTCTAAATAATGTTATGTTTTTGAGTTAAAGATGCGAATTCTAGTGCTTTAATGTTCTCTTTCCGAGAGAGATGCACAGGTTCGATTTTTTTTCCCGGCGCCATGCCAAATTTAAAATATTTAACATAAAACCGCTTCTCTTGTAAGGCTCTCGGCATAATATAACTAAACGTGAAAGTCGCAATTGTTGTAGTTAGGGAAAGCAGGACTAACAAATCTCTTAGTAAATATCAAATCAAAAAAAAGTTTATTATAGGTAGAAAGTGTTCATTAGCCAGGAGTATTTATGTAATTAGATAATTAATAAAGCTATTTGAAGCATTTAAATTATTTTGAATTGTTTGTTTTAGGGGAAAATAATAATATTAGAACTGAAAAGTTGAACCACATGAATCATAATGCAACATGGCATCTCTATTTTAATGCATATTGAAACGAACAAATTTTCAACAGTCACCTCATAATTCATATTACTTTGCATTATTCAGTAACATTATTAAAAATATATATTTGTAAGTAACGAAACAATTGTTTTTCTTTGTGAAATATTCTATCTCTCTCCTACTGTAAGTTTGCTAAGTAATTTCATGTTTACAACATAGGCAATTTATAATAAGTCATAATAAGAAAAATGAGTTTAATCCAGTTCCAAGATTTGTACGCAAGATTTGTTTTTCTTTTGCAGCAATCAACGTAAAAAAATCTCCAAATCATCACAGATGAATTCATTACAAAATTGATATAACTTTTATTTCATCACATAGCCGCTCCCCAACATACAGGTAGTCGTTTTCGTCATTACAAAGTGCCCGGGGCATTTTCATATTTTTGTACTGAATATAGTGAAGAAAACTACCATTCTGGTCGAACATGTGGATTTTGTCATTCGTCATATCTGCTGTGATGATGTTATTTTTGGAATCACAACAGACACCGTACGGATCAAAGTGAGTATCACTAGGTAGTCCTTTGTACTGGAATCGAAGAAATCCGACAGCATCAGTGACGACAACTCTATCTACATCAGAGAAACATATATCTCCATTTCCGTTTTCTGTGATGTAGGTAGGACACGTGAAATATGGTAGATTATTCTGATATTGTATTTCAAGGATTTTATGTCCATCAGTATTTAGTTTCAAAACTTTTCCAAGAGACTTTTCATGTGCTTTATTGTTCCAAAGACAAATCAAAATGGCTTTTGATTTGCAAACCGCAATGCCAGTTGGCGTGAACCCATTTTTCTGTATTTCGAGATCAATGGGCATCTCTGGGCGGCACCATAATTCTTGAATTCTACGATCAATGTTACAGGTAGAGCTTTCAACTTTCATGGATCCATTCTTGAAAGATAAAAAATGAACATAATCACAAGTTCTGGATGGTTGAAATTTTCGATGCTGCATTTGATATCCACCACGCTTTTGACTCAAAAGATAACAATGGTTGGTACAGGCAAAATACGAGCTTAAATCAAGTGAGTAGCTTATCCAATGATTGGATGTGAGAAAACCTCGACTGTCTCCCTCTGGGGATACAAGTGACACAGCAATGTTGCCATTTCCAAGGAACACCATATCAAATATAAATATTCTTCCACTGCAAGATATTTTTTCACAATCTGATACTCCACTGCAATCGTGTTCTGTGCTTGATTCATTTTATTTACCTGTGATGATTTTTGTAAAATTTCATTTTAGTTGTAATTTTAAGAGGCAGTCCTCTAAAATACCATGCAGTATTATATCTATAGGCGGCACATCCAATGGGACGAATATTTGATATTTTCTTTAAAATTATATTAATGTTGTCTATATATGTGGACTATTGAAATTAAAGATTTGTTTGAAAATAGCATATTAACAAAAATATTGTTATGTTTTGTGTTCTTGAATTTCCGTATATAAACCATTGAATACACGTCAGAAACAAAGAACTCTGAATTTTAGTTTCTTTTCAATAGATCTGTAATTATCTCTGAACTAAATCCAGGAAAATTTCAATTTTTTGTTTAAAAAATAAAAACTTTTTTTTTTCAATAGTATTTTTTTTCCAAAATTGAAAAATCGTTTTTATGAAATTTTGCCATGCAAGAGTTATCTTCCATAGCATCTGGAAATCAGCTAAACACCTAGTAAAAGGATAACTGTGAAATATTAAGAATTTAGACACTAAATTATATTTCGCCTCTTAGCATTATATCTAGTTTAAAATGTCTTCTAATATTCATGTTGAATCCAGTTTTCATTAATGTCTCATTGACGACAAATACCTATCTGGTATTGTGTCACATTAGCTGCAAAGCTTTACGGAAGTTAGCAGATTTATAAATGTAAACGTGCAAAGAAAAAGGTATAGAAGTTGAGCTAAATATTTTTTTTATCTTTCCAATTACTCTTCAGCGTACATCATCCTGAGCGATATCTGCCATCATAGAATATTGTGATCCAGAATGTCTTTTTATTAGCGGCACCTCAACTAGATGTTAACATGTGCGTATCAATGAGTGATTTCAAGTACAAAACGACTATATAGGAATCAGAATGATTAATTTCTTTTAAATGAAATGGTTTATTAATCCACGTACTAGTAATTTATTTGTACTAAAAATAATATTTTAGTTTCTGATACATGTCGAATTAGGATGTGGAAATATAACTGAATATGCCAGTAAGCTGAATAGAAAAGATTTTCAGTTTTCAGTGTTTGAAGAAAAACTGAAATTTAAGCCGAGGTTAAATATATAAAAGATAGTTGAGGAATTAAAGCACAAGCATCCCTTTTAATTTGATTTCGCGATCGAAAGACTGATATAAACTTTTTTTTTATCTTTTATTTCCCTAGAGAAAATTTGTAAAAATATTTTGCTTTGATATTTTATTAAGCTGAAATTTCATTATTTATTGTTGTAAAATATAATATATATCTTTTTAAATGTCATATCAAGAAGTCAAACACATGTTTTATAGTATTAAAAGAGCTTCATGAACATGACGAACGTGAAAACCACTACTAACTAAATATATACTTGAAACCATGTATAAAATCATCAAGAAACGTTTGTCCTACTGAAAAGAAATATTAGACATTTTTTTTTTTAGAATTAATTAAAATGAAGAGCCGAATTAAGGAAATATTTCTAGATATAAACCAATCCCGATTAAAATAAAACCGATCCCTATCGAAATGAATTCAAAATAAATCAAAATAAATACAATTGCACAGGAAAAACATTTAATGAATGATATACAAGAAATTTGTAAACCATATTACAACAAAACAACCAAATTTCCAGATGAACTTGTAATAGCTTTCTTCGTTATATAATTCCGGTCGGGATTGGTTTAATTTGGATAAATTGTTAAAAACTAGACCAATTTGACACCACTTCCTTCAATCAATTTACGTATTCCCAAGAACTATATTGATTAATTCAATAATTTATACTTTGAAAGTATTATAAAATGAGGATAAAGTATTCAGTTTTCGGTTTAAGAACAGAATGAAAATTGGAAAATGGATTTTAGTCACTTGTTTAACTCAATTTATACCGCCTATTTTTTTTTTTTTCTAAAAAATGTTAATCTCATATTCTTATGAATATTATATTGGTATCAGTACTATAATGAAAGATAAGGGTTTATACTATAAGTCATATTTAATGACATATCTTGTTTATGAGTACCTATTTCATATAAAACAAAATAATTACATAGTAAATTTTAATCATCATGTTGACCTTTTGTCTCTTAAAAAAACATTTACCTAAAATAGGACAAGAGGAACTCTAAAAAAAATTGATGTCGCCATTTGATAACACTTGCTTGAATTAGTTTCCGTGAAAAAAAAAAAATCTAAATCCATGACATGCAATGTGCCACCCATTGCCTTTTTTTTGGTTGACTGCCTCTAAATACATTAGTTTATACCGTACAAACTGTGCTGCCTACGTAAAAATATAAATGACGTCATCAATCAATTATCTTGACGTTAGACTTGTAAATATAAGCTATTACATGTATGAACATTTATTTTTAATCATGATAAGAAATAAAATTATAAGGAATAAATTTAATAGCTACCCAACTTATTATTTTACAGATTGAAAAAGGGTGTGAGCAGTGTGCGATTTTATTTAAACAGCTTTTAGGTTTATAAAGCGTAAGCTGTCCTAATCCAAGATTTTATTTAATAACTGGGTAAATCTAGTTATTGAATTCGTTCCTTAAAAAATAGTGCGTGATGTAAAGAGAACCGTTACAGATGTTCAAAAACTTCTCTCGCACTCTTTTCAGATTTTTGAAGTCAATAATATTGAAATTGACGACGTTATATAAATTTTGATGATTTTATTAGTTGCCACTCGTTATTTTGAACAAGATGTACCATAATTTTTAGGTTGAGGCTATCTGGTACCGCTTGCAGGGTGGCTGGGCAGGAGTTATCTCTCCATAAGTGTGTACGAGTTATCTCGCATTACGACGGTGATAACCATGAATTTATACCCTTATTAAAAAGTTCCACATCGATCGTTCTCTAGAAAGGTTAATGTTTATTTAATATGTAAAACGTAATAATTAAGAAAAATAAAGGGAGATAGACAATTAAAGTCCTCTAATTGTTGATTTGGGAGCATATAGTGCATTCGAACTTGGGGGGGGGGGGTGGAGGGCGAGGGGGTATCGTCACAATAATTTTAACATTATACAATATTTACTTGAAAAGAGTCTTACGGAGCTCTCTCTCCCCCCCCCCCTCTCTCTCTCCACAAAAAATGTTAGATGAAGTTTATTTTTTAAATTATTTAATTATTTTTTTTATCTATATTATTTTATGTACATATTTATTTTTATTTATTTATTTATTTTTGTAAATACACACCTTTTGTTTATCACTCGAGACTGCGATGTTTTCAGTTACCCTTTATTGTTATTCTTTTCTTCTGACAAACGTTTACTCGCTTTGTCATTCTCGCAGACATGGCACGATAACCGAACGTCTTTCTTCTTGAAATTGAAACTCTTATAAATCAAAGTACAAAAAATTAGGGAATTTTAAATCCCCCTCCATGTATCAGCGAATGCCGGTGTGCAAAGACTCTACATAGACCTTTTATTACTTTATTACATACTTATTTACAATTTAATCAAGGGTCGAAAGGAAGTGTTTTTAATGTCTTCAAGTTCTCTCTCTCTCTCTCTGTGTGTGTCTATCTCTCTCTCTCTCTCTCTCTCTCTCTCTCTCTCTCTCTCTCTCTCTCTCTCTCTCTCTCTCTCTGACGGTAGTGAACCCCTGCCTCAATCTGTGCTTGCTGTGTTCTACTTTTAATCTAATTTTCAGACACTCTTAGCTTTCTAGTCATCATATTCTAATTCACCGAAAATTTTTCTGTTTTTTAAAAATATATTTTATCTCATATTTTCACAGTGAACATAACAATTCCATGATAACCTTGTACAATTTACTAATAATGATTGCGTTTATAACATAGGTCCAACTAGTATTTCAAAACTATCCCAAAAATAAAATTCGGCATCTATATGTATGCCCCCTTCCCCCCGATGAAAAAAACTAAAATTCTTAAACCAGTATTTAATAGTGATATTTATTTTATTTAATGAATAATATGAATAAAGGAATGTTTTAACGCCGAGAATCAACATTTAATATTCTAAACATGTGTATAAAAGTTAAGACATACTAAAGTCACCTCTACCGACCGCCTAGGTTTTGCTAAGATTGTCATATCAAAGTACGCCTTTTAGTTACGGTATTAAATCAAACACTGTACATTTAGCATGGTGTTAGACTTAAGTACCCTTTATGTTACGACCCCCAGAAAATGAAACATGCCCACCTCTAACAGGTACTACATTATGTAGCTTGTCACTGTAAAATGTACAGATATCAAGTTATGGTACTTCCTACCTTTAACAGGTACCAGAGTTCAAAGTTACCTACCTCTAACAGGTACCAGATTTCAAAGCTACCTACCTCTAACAGGTACCAGATTTCAAAGCTACATACCTCTAACAGGCACCAGATTTCAAAGCTACCTACCTCTAGCAGGTACCAGATTTTTAAGCCACCTACCTTTAAGAGGTACCAGATTTTAAAGCTACCTACCTCTAACAGGTACCAGATTTTAAAGCTACCTACCTCTATTAGATACCAGATTTTAAAGTTACCTACTTCTAACAAGTACCAGATTTCAAAGGTAACTACCTCTAACAGGTACCAGATTTTAAAGCTACCTACCTCTAACAGGTACCAGATTTCAAAGCTACCTACCTCTAACAGGTACCAAATCTCAAAGCTACCTACCTCTAACAGGTACCAGATTTCAAAGCTACCTACCTCTAGCAGGTACCAGATTTTTATGCCACCTACCTTTAAGAGGTACCAGATTTTAAAGCTACCTACCTCTAACAAGTACCAGATTTTAAAGCTACCTACCTCTATTAGATACCAGATTTTAAAGTTACCTACCTCTAACAGGTATCAGATTTCAAAGGTACCTACCTCTAACAGGTACCAAATTTTAAAGCTACCTACCTCTAACAGGTACCAGATTTTAAAGCTACCTACCTCTATTAGGTACCAGATTTCAAAGCTACCTACCTCTAACAGGTACCAAATCTCAAAGCTACCTACCTCTAACAGGTAC